TGGTGTTTAAATCTGATTTTCCTCAGCATCCCAGAGGCCTGAGATCCCCTTTGGGAGCCCCTGCAGCTCCTCCTGAGTGCTGAAGGTGCTGCCAACAGGGAAAACCCACGGGAATGGCATGGCCAGAGCGACATTCCCAGTGTCTCCATGGGGTGTGCACTGGGAAAGGAATAAAACAGATAAAAAGCTCATTTTCTGTATGCTGGACAAATAAAAGCTTGTAGAAATCCAGTTGTGTTTTCTGATTCAAATCCAATTGTGTTTTCTGATTCAAATCCAATTGTGTTTTCTTTCCCAGTTCCTCCCTAAGTCCTGTTTTCTCTCCTTCCCTGATCAGCTCCCAGCCCCACCAAATTGCTCTGTGCTCCCCATTTCTCTTTCTCCCTCTTTTTTTTATGGGAGTTTTTGTCACCCCTAAATCCAGCAGTTTTCCCATACTGACCCCTAGGAAATGTGGCATATAATAATAATAGTAATAATAGTAAAATAGTAATAACAATAATTATTATATTATATTATATTATATTATATTATATTATATTATATTATATTATATTATATTATATATTACATTACATTACATTATATTACATTATATTAGCTCCTAACTGCCTCTTTAGTTTCCTTTTGAATGTTTTTCCCCAGAAAAAAATCAGAAATCGGGGTAAAATACACATTAAGTTGTGTTTTAAATATTATCTATATAATAAAATGTAACACTTGTGCAGTGTCTCTCATCGAGAGTCTCCAGCTGAGGAAAGTGGATAAACAMTGCAATTCCCTTTTCCTTGGGATAATGAAGAAAAAGACTTTGGGAGAAGTGATCAATGAGTRACCAAACTCAACCCAAATCATGGAATAATCAAATCACAAAATCATTTGGATTGGAAAAGCCGTCTAAGACCAGAGAGATCTTAAATCAAAATKATTAAAAATTTAAAATTATTATTCTGGCCTAAAAGTGTGAAAGGATTTCAGATATGTGGAGATTTCAGTGCCACTTCTGGAAGTGTGATTTCAGTGGAAGTATTCACACTCAATAACTTCCCACCAGAGAGAAAWGGGAACGGGGTTAGAAGGGGAAAAAACAGAATTAGCTTCTTAATATCTGACATTTTCTGCATTAACAGCTCTGGGAGTGAAAAGCTTTGGCCCCTGAGTGACTCAGGCTCTGCTCAGAGTTAATAGAGCAAGAAATCTTCTCATAAATTCAGCGCTGGTGCCTCTTCTGGGTGGAAAAATCCTGAACATAAACATTAAACACCACACTGATCCCATATTTTTCCCTTGCAGGTGTGTTCTTCCTCTCACGATTCTCATCAGAGCTGAGATTATATTTTAAGGAGTGACCAGGCACTCCCAAGTTTTCAGCCTCATTGAGATTTTCCAGTGGGAAGGGACAGGATTGGATGGGAAAAATTGAAAAAGAGAAACTATTTATGCCTGCAAAATCCCCACAAAAGATTTGCTGCATCACACAGCACGTGGGGATGAAAATCTGCATCAAGATTCTGAGCTGGTAGTAAGTGTGGAGTAAATATTCCAGCTGGTAGTAGGGGTGGCTGGGAGCAGTAAAAATCCCCCACAGTTSAGAGAAACGCAGGATTTTGGGAACAAGTTTCCATTTAAAGTCGGCCTAAATCATTTTAAGTGAGATTTTAAAGCTTTAATTGCATCCTAGCAGGGAGTTGGCGATGCTGATTACAMAAACACTTCCTGCATCTGTCTCTGCTGAAAGGAAACAAAAAAAAAAACAAACTGGAGGAGCTTGGAGGAGCTGGAGGCATCACAAATCCAGAGGAGATTCATGGCTGAGGAACCCACGGGGAGGAAAAGGGATCCAGAATTAGGAGAGTTTTAAATGAACAAAAATCCCAATGGGCAAATTCCCMAATGGAATATTGAGGGAATTATTGGGACAGAGCATCTGGAAATCAGAATTACCCAGTCACCAGGGCTGCGGGGCAGCAAGACAGAAAAGCAAAATATTAAATCAGTCTTGCTCTAGAAGTAGTCACTGAGTAGGGCCATTCCTTCAATTTAAAAAAATTCCTTCAATTAAAAAAATTCCTTCAATTTAAAAAAATTCCTTCAATTAAAAAAATTCCTTCAATTTAAAAAAATTCCTTCAATTTTAAAAGATTCCTTAAATTAAAAAAAAAATCCTCAGTTTGGAGTCTATGCTGCTGCTGCACTGCCTAAGCCCAGCGTGCAGTACTCCCTGTGAGTGTCTTGGAAGAAATAAAATAAAGAAAGAATCCCCTAAAATAARCATCTCATTGCCCAGTRTGTGAGAACCATTTCCTCCTTTAACCCACTCATAAATCAGGAAAATTTTATCAGAGCTCTCTAAGAACTGAAACACCTCCAAAGTCACTCTCCTATTTCTTGGAAGAAATAAAATAGAAAAAAAAAACCCCTAAAATAAACATCTCATTGCCCAGTGTGTGAGAACCATTTCCTCCTTTAACCCAATGACAAATCTGGAATATTTTATCAGAGCTCTCTAAGAACTGAAACCCTTCCAAACTTCAGCCCATTTCATTTAATCCCAATTATTTGGCACGGCTCAAGTTTTCAACTGCAAGTCCAGAGCTAAATCGTTCCTTAGAAGACCAAAATTCCCGTGTGGAGTTTGATGTCACTACAAGGAGGCTTCCAAGACAAAAACGTTGAGTTTAATGAGGAAAGGCTGCTTTAAAAAATCCCATATTTTCAGGAAACCACCCCAAAGTTGAGGAAAATCGCATCATTTCCTCCGGGAGCGGGTGGGAGGAGGGAGGGGATGGAATCAGACGTGGCTCGGATGCAGCACATCCCCTCCTGTGTGCTCAGCATTCGGGAAGCCACCGAGGCTCTTCCCAACCACAAAATCGCTGCTCAAACGAGCTGTGACCAGGCAGAACCTCTCCCATTCCCTCAAGAGTGGGAGATTTGTGGATTTTCCTCACCGGGCCGGGATGCAGAAACCAAAAGCTCCTTTTGGAAGTGTTTGACAGCTTTTTTTTTACCCGGCCATGGAGCCGGGATTGGTGGAATTTGGGCTGYGAATTTGGGGTTGTTGGGTTGGGTCTGTGTGAAGGAAACGCCCTTGCAGTGACATCRGCATTGTTTCTCTGCAGTGCTCAGAGAGTTGGAGCATTTATCACCAATATTACCCCAAATCCTGGAGTTTTTCCCATTCAGACGGGCTCTGAGTGTGTCCTGGCATGGATTGACACCCGGTGTCCCCACCCTGTGTCCCCCATCCCCACCCCGCGCCCCGGGGTCGTACCAGGCTGCGGGATCGTACTCTGCCCACACCCGCACGAACTCATCCAGGTGGTGGGGACCGAGGATGGAGGAGTCCCGGGTCAGGTACTCGAAATTGTCCATGATCACTGCCACGAACAGGTTCAGCATCTGCGGGGAGGGAATGGGGCAGGGGGAACGGGAGAGAGGACGGGAGGGAGAAAGGAGGAAGAGGAGAGGAAGGGAAAGGAGAAGGAGAAGAAGGGAAAGAAAAAGGGGAAAGGGAAAAGGGAAAAAGGAGAAGAGAGAAAGGAACGTAGAAAGGAAGGGAGAAGGGAGAAGGAGAAGAAGGAAGGGAGAAGGGAGAAAAGAGAAGGGAGAAGGGGAGGGGAAAGAAGGGAAAGAAGGGGGAAAGGGAAAGGGAGAAGGGAGAAAGAAAGGAGAAAGGAGAAAGGAACGTAGAAAGGAAGGGAGAAGGGAAAGGAGAAGGGGGAAGGAGAAGAAGGAAGGGAGAAGGGAGAAAAAAGAAGGGAGAAAACAGAAGGGAGAAGGGGAGGGGAAAGGAGGGGAAAGGAGAAGGGAAAGAAGGGGGAAAGGGAAAGGGAAAGAGAGAAGGGAGAAAGAAAGGAGAAAGAAGAAAGGAGAAAGGAGAAAGGAGAAAGGAGAAAGGAGAAAGGAGAAAGGAGAAAGGAGAAAGGAGAAAGGAGAAAGGAGAAAGGAGAAAGGAAGGGGAAGGAAAGAAAATGGAAAGGGAAGGGGAGGGAAGGGGAGGGAAATAAGAAGGGGAAGGGAAATAAGAAGGGAAGGAAAAGAATATGAAAACCTGGAAGGGGAGCATCCATAATTCCCTTATCTGGATRTTTCTACAAGGAGCTGCCTCACCCCAGAGAAGAAACTTTCCAAATGGAACCCTGGGAATGCCAGTGCTGCCTCCTCCTCCCATTCCCACCCAAGGGAAGGGCATTTTTCCAGGTCCCCATCACTGGTGCTGCCYTCCAGCCCTGATCCCAGCTGGATCAACCCCTCTGCCTTCCCTCCTTCAACTCCACCAGCACAGCCCCACACAGGGGCTGCAGCCACTGCTCCTCCAGCCAGGAGATGGGAATTCTTCCAGATCAAAGCACATCAAGACCAGAACAGTTTGGGGTTTTTTTAACAAAAAGCTTTAGAACCAACAACACACTTGAAAATATCAACGAGAATGGCTGATGTTGGATTCGAGCTTTGGGGCATTTTTTGTCTGGTTTGGGTTTTTTTAGTTTGTTTTCATTTTGGTTTTTGGTTGGTTTGTTTTGGGTTTTTTTTTTTTTTGTGGGTTTTTTTGGGTTTTTTGGGGTCATCCTCCTCGAGCTTTAAGTGGATCCCTGTCCCTGTTTTTTCTGGGAAGTGACCCCAGGAGCAGGGAGAGGGTTCTGGATGCTCAGAAAGGTGCTGGCACCTTGCCAAGCTCAGCCCCACCATGGACACAAACCAATCCCAGCAGTTCTGGGGATTTCCATGTCTAAAGCTTTTCTGGCTTAAACAAAAAAATATTTTGCATTTGTTTGACCAACAAAGGATGGTCCTTGTGGGTTCTTTCCCTCCCAGCAGATCCTGGGGTTGTGTGAAAGGAGTGAGATGCTCCCAGGAAATGCTGAACTCAGCCATTGTCCCCCTGCCCTCCCCAATCCCCTTCTTCAAAGGGATCTCACAGATCAAGACAAACCCGATTAATGCTTAATTCCAAATATTACAGCCCCCTGTGAGGAGAAAGATAAACCCCCAGCCTTTAATGAGGAAATGATCTCTTTGGGGATTAAGGGGGATTTTATCAGCAGGATAAGAAATGGGGTTTAGCAAAGCTGGCTGGTGGCAGTGACTATATTATAATTAGGGAGGAGGAGGAGGCAAAGAGGAGGGGAGGATTTGGGGGGATCCACAACACCACCCCCACTTTGGGAGGGATCAGAACTGACTTACCAGGAAGGAGCAGAGGAAGATGAAGGACACAAAGTAGAAATAGGCAAAATCGCTGCCACACTCCTTTTTGGTGAGGCCAGAGAGGGGGTCACAGGCTCTGTTGCTCAGGCAGGACARCATGATCTCATGCCAGGCTTCCCCCGTGGCACTCCTGCAGCACAGAGCAGAGGCTCAGCTTATCCAGCCCTCCCACTTCACAGATTTACTGCTCCCAATTAACCCAATTAATGAGGTGGAAGGTTGTGTCCCTGTATTTAYACTGGGAATTGGAAATACCAATGGAAGGGAAAAGAGAAAGGACAATTCCCTCTGTCACAGGGGGTAAAGAAACCAGACAGGCTCAGGAGGGCTGAAAGTTTTATTGCTTTTATGGAGRATAAAACCAATAAAATTGGTTTAAACAGTGCAAATCTAAGCAAACAGAGCTCAGATTGCTGCTTTTTGAAGATGCCAACACTTCTGTCCTAGTGCTGGCTCTAAAGCATTTCCTCCTTTAACCCACTCACAAATCAGGAATATTTTATCAGTGTTTTATTGGAACTTGGAGGATGGGAAATGAAACCAGGCTTCTCCACTCCAATCCCTTATTTCCTTTATCAGGCAGAGAAATTCCAGCATGAGCTGGGTAAACTTGGATGCTTTTTCCATCACAGTCTCCATGGGTGCTTTCCACTAATTCCCTTCTGCCTCTGTAACTTCTGCTGTTGAGAGGAAAGAGCCAAAAGGAAAAACTCAGGAGTCCCAGAGGGTTTGTTCTAAAAATGAACCAGTCCCTGTGAAGCACAGACACRGTTTTGCTGCTCACACCCAGCTCAGAGGGTGTTTTATCCTCCGTTTTATCCCCTCCTTACCTGAACAGGAGCATCAGGGCTTGCAGGAAGGTCCTGAAGTTGTTGTGCCGATTGATGGAGGTTTCGTCATCTAAGGCAATGTTCCCAAATACCTGCCAGGGAAAAGAGAAAATTCAGCCAAGCACGTGGAGTGGAGCTAGAAAATGAGGCAGGGCAAGAATTTGTCCTGGTTTAAGGGATCTCAGGAGCTGAAGTAATTTCTGTGCTGAAAAGGGAGATCAGAATGTGTGGGTAATACACGAGATTAAGGTGATTTGTGTTCACACAGRTCCTTCCCAGCAGCTCAGCTCCATCCCAGGCTGAGAAAACTTCACTATTTTGTTTCAGAAATGTTCAGTGCCTGGGCTGCTCCCTCCTCTCAGCCCCCTGGGGTGTCCACACACAGGATAAGGGATCTCTCTTCCCACAGAATCCATGGATGTCCAGTGCTGCAGCTGKGAACGTGACCCAGGCTCGTGCCCACAGCTGGTTTGTCCAGTTCACCACAAAAGCTCACAGTKAAAGCAGAAAAAGAGGCTTTTTTAAATTTCCCATTTACCTGACACCAGAAGAACCTTTCACCTCATCCCAAATCAGTGCTGCTCCTGTGGTGGAGGCAACAACCCATCCCCACCCCGAACAAAGCTGGGCTGCTTCTGGCCACAATGAAAAGATTTCAATTCATTGAAAAGATTTCACTGAAAGAATTTAAAAGTTTTACCTGCATGCCAATAATGGCATAGATGAAGAAGAGCATTGCAATGAGGAGACACACATAAGGCAAGGCCTGTKGGAAAGGAAAATGTGGGATTAACGACAGCAAATTCAAACATGAATTCCCCGGAAGGACTGAGTTTCGTGAAATTTGTCCTTCAGGTGAAGGAAGAGAATGTGAATTTGAATGAGAATTTTGGCAGCATTGAGGAGAGAACCCCTGRAAGCAGGGATTCATGGATCCCACAACAKCCAGGGCTGGCCAAGGGCTCTCTGYGTCCTTGGAAGCTGCAAGCAGGGAAAACACGATCCGAGCTGGGCAGCGAACACTGGAGTTACCAACAGGCACCAGCACTCTCTGTGCAGAATTGTAGGATAGTTCATTTTTACTGGCCTCGCTGTAAATTCAGTCTGAGAGAAAAAAAATCCATCCCAGAAATGAGTTCCTGCTCTGAACAGGCAAAGTTTGGGATCCCAAGAGGACAAAAAAAAAAAAAAAAT